GGTGGCATATCTTGTTTTTTGTGAGTGACGCCAAGGTCAGAGGTAACCAGGTCCACGAACATTTGTGTCTTTCCACAGTGTTGGACTTTTATTGATGCTATTTCCATTACAAAAGCCACCAGCTATGTGGAGTTCCCAGGGAGGCAATTCTTCTTAGTACTTCTCATCCACTCGTTAGATCTGTAGGCACACAGGTTCCAGCCTCTGCACCAGCCAGTCAGTATTGGAAACTGTACACAATCGTATACTCTGTCAATATATAAATGTTACTGATTAAACATTGCATGACAAACAAAATAACATTTAACATTAAGAGAAAGGGAATAGGAGAAGGGTTAATGAACTAGTCCAGGAAGAGCAACAAAGAAAAGAAGAATTTCCTGATCTGGGCTGGTCAATCTGGTCGTGCAGGAAAGTCTTTGATGTGGGCAGAGCCTTCAGGGGCAGATGCCAGGTGCTTGTCACTACTTACAACGGTACCTACCCTTTTTATGGCCACAGAGTCCTCCAGTGAGGACTGATAGTTGAAGACTGTGCTTGTTTATCTACTACTTATCTGGTTGGACGCAGTCTTTATTTATCAAGAAAAACATCTTGTCTCTGTTGTGACAAAATAGCATTAAAAAAAGTCATAAAAATGTACAGTTTTAGGAATTTGCTGAAAACAAAGTGTTGGCTATTTCCTCATGAAGTCTTTCACATGTCTTCATGAAAATGGAGCTGGCCAGATATAGTGGCTCACACCTGTAATCCCAGCACTTTGGGTGGCTGAGGCAGGTGGATTGCTTGAGTTTAGGAGTTAGAGACCAGTCTGGTCAGCATGGTGAAACACCATCTCTACAAAAAATAAAAAATAAAAAATTAGCTGAGCTTGGTGGTGCATGTCTGTAGTCCTAGCTACTCAGGAGGCTGAGGTAGGAGGATGACTTGGGCCCTGGAGGCGAAGTTTGCAGTGAGCCAAGATCGCGCCACTGCACTCCAGCCTGGGCAACAGAGTGAGACCCTGTCTCAAAAAAAAAAAAAAAAAGGAGTGGGGAGAAAATGGAACTCTTTGTTTGTTTGTGAAAAGGAAAATAAACCCTCTCAGGACTGCCCAAACTCTTTTTGCCAAAGGGAAACTTAAGACTGGAGAGACAGGTGACACTGCTGCTGTCCCCTCGCACCTTGCCTCCCTGCTTGACAGATAGCTGTGACTTCCCCACCTTATGTCAAAGTGCTATGCATTAGCCAGACCCCTGGAGAAGGCAAAAGGCCTCGTGTATCCCAGATGACTGCCCTCAAATTGCTCATAAGTAAATTCTCTGCTGGCCCCTAAACCTTTCTAGATGTGTATCTTCCCATAGAAAAGGACATGTCAGCTGTAACTTTAGGTCTGTGACCTAAGTCTAGCTCCCTATCCATGGAATTGCAGTCTGTTACATTTCATACTGACATTGCCCATTACAAGCTTTTCTTCCCAGGTGCAGAACAAAGACAGGAGAGCAGTCATTTCTCTGCCTATCCTGAGACTACATAATTAACTCTTTCTTTACACCCTTTTTGAATGTTTATCATATCTCTTGTATAGCGGAGTTTACTGGGCACTAGTTGAAATCTAAGGAGAATGTCGCCTTTGCCTCACCACCTGCCCCTCTTTTCCTGCATGCCTTCTCCCCTTTAAAGAAATGGGTAGGGC